GTAATGTGTAATTGAGCAATAACCAATTACCAAATACAATTACTTATATCCGACTTTTTGCCAATTACAATTACTTGTAATTGTAATTAATTACAATTATGTAGATATGTTTGAAAGAGTTTAAATGATGCAGCTGCGACATGCCTCTATACATCAGTATTAAACTATATAATTTCTGTTCGTCCTTCACAAAAATGTTCTATTAATTTTTTCAATGTTAAATCAAAACATAAATATGTATTTATCTATTTATATATGTATGCGAGTATGTACTTGTCTATGTAGAATTAACATCACTGCCGGCCGGTCAAATCATTTTTGCGATCATCAAACACGTTCCTAACAAATGTAAAACGAATGTCAACATACAAACATATACATAAATTTTGCAAATAAAATAAATTCATTTTTGATACACTTTAGTTTGAATACTATATTTAGCATCAACAAACAGCAACAACAACAAAACAAAAAAGAAAAGAAATAAATAAATAATTTTAAAAAACCCATTCTCAATAATCTTTATTAATATTGACAACCATGTCGTATGAGCAACATACATATTTTCTTTGCTACACATGTATGTCGGACTTGTCTAGTCTCTTGAGAGCCTTACGAATGTCACAAGGAAAAACATACAACAACGATGATGTTTTGTTGTAATAACAACATAATTTCGTAAAGTTTTTGTGTAATATTTTTGTGTTTTTTTTTTTGTAATGTCACATTTAAATGCATTAAAAGAATTTGTTGCCAATTTGTTTATTAATTATTTGTTGAAGTGAAATTATGAGACAATTTTATATAATTTTGTTGTTGTTATTGATGTAGTTGCAGATGGCTGTTTGTTTGTTGTTGTTGTGATTGTCTCATATTTTAAATTTTTGCAAAGAAAAAGGAATTCGAAATAATTAAAAAAATGCAATAAAATTTATTGGAAAACACTATGCAATCACTCATACGCATTGTAGTCTTGCATGTTAGAAATACACATTTGTTCCAAAAAATAAGTGCAACTAAAGAGTCTTCGTTTTAGTTAAGTTTTCCAACATTTAGTTGACAACTTTTTTTTTAATTTAAAAAAATAGCGAATGGCTGCATTTAGTTTTTGGACCATCAGTGTTTTTATGTTTAGAAACAGAATATATTTTTTAAAAAACTAAAATGTCTGTTTTGTGAAATTCGACGTCTTTTCTTTTTGTTATTTTTTTTATTCAGCTATTATAACAACAATAATAACTACAATAAATAATAAAATACTAAAAACATTTCAAGAACATTTTATTTTTGAATTAAATTTTTTTCAGAATTTTTTGGTATTTGTTGCTATTCTGCTAATTCTGCAAATTTTATTTGTTTCTCACAATTTAGTGAATGTAATTTAAATTAGATTCAATTTAACAAAAATAAATAAATTTTTGTTTTTATTTCTTGATTTTTTTCCTTTGATTTCTACCAAAAAATAGAAACATACATGCACATCTACCCATAACCATACACATATACATACATGAGTAAGTTTGAATATGTATGTAAATCTATGTAAATTGTTATTTATTTAAAAAAAAATATTTTTGTTATGAATAAATACTAAAATATTTCACCGTTTATATTTAAAATCTGTTTTAAACAAAACAACTTTTGCAACATTTTGTTGTTGGGGAAAATAATTTTCTCAAAATTTTTATTTTATTTCAAAATTTTCTTATGTATTTACTTTTAAATTTTTTGTGTAGTTTTCTTTTTCTTAATTTTTGTTGTTGTTTTAATTTCATGGACGTAAAAAACAGCAACATACACACTCACACATATGCATTTAGCCAATAAAAATCTACTCATACACGTGTAAATCACAAACAAATAAACAAACAAAATGGTTGTTCTACGATTATGATAATTAAGAGAGTAAAGAAAATGAAAAGAGAAGGTAAAAATTATTTCTATTTTTATACGCGTAATTGCTCAAGACATCCATCCAAACGTCCACTCATTTTACTAGTTTTTTTTCATTTACTTTTTTTTTTCTCTGAAAATATTCATAAATTTGATTGATTTTAAATTATACGAAATATCTTTTGTTTTAAATCAAATATATATTTTTATTATGAAATATTTTTTAATCGTTTCAAATTCATAGGTATTTAAATAGTTCTGTTATATAAAGTAATAATAACTGACTGACTGATGTTATCAAGGTCATTAACACTACAATGCTGCAGGTTAAAAAATAAAATGTTCTAAAAATATAATGAAAACTATCGATAAATTTACAAAATTGTTCAACAATTCAATGAAAACACGTGTATAAAAATAGAACTAAAGAATTTAATTTAAAACAAATTACAATGAATGGTATTTTTAACTATTTTAATTAACAAATTTAACTTCAGAATGTATTTTAGCCAAAAAAATATAGATATAGATAGATATAGATAGATAGATAGATAGATAGATAGATAGATAGATAGATAGATAGATAGATAGATAGATAGATAGATAGATAGATAGATAGATAGATAGATAGATAGATAGATAGATAGATAGATAGATAGATAGATAGATAGGATAGATAGATAGATAGATAGATAGATAGATAGATAGATAGATAGATAGATAGATAGATAGATAGATAGATAGATAGATAGATAGATAGATAGATAGATAGATAGATAGATAGAGATAGATAGATAGATAGATAGATAGATAGATAGATAGATAGATAGATAGAGATAGATAGATAGATAGATAGATAGATAGATAGATAGATATATAATAGGGAATTTTAGATAGATAGCTAGATAGATAGATAGATAGATAGATAGATAGAATAGATCGATAGATAGATAGGATAGATAGATAGCATAGCTAGATAGATAGATAGATAGATAGATAGATAGATAGATAGATAGATATATAGATAGATAGATCGATAGATAGATAGATAGATAGATAGATAGATAGATAGATTAGATAGATAGATAGATAGCTAGAATAGATAGATAGATAGATAGATAGATAGATAGATAGATAGATAAGATAGATAGATAGATAGATAGATAGATAGATAGATAGATCGATAGATAGATAGATAGACTAGATAGATAGTCTGATAGATAGATAGATAGATAGTAGATAGATAGATAGATGAAGAAGATGATAGATAGATAGATAGATAGATAGCTAGATAGATAGATAGATAGATAGATAGATAGATAGATAGATAGATAGATAGATAGATAGATAGATAGATAGATAGATAGATAGATAGATAGATAGATAGATAGATAGATAGATAGATAGATAGATAGATAGATAGATAGATAGATAGATAGATAGATAGATAGATAGATAGATAGATAGATAGATAGATAGATAGATAGATAGATAGATAGATAGATAGATAGATAGATAGATAGATAGATAGATAGATAGATAGATAGATAGATAGATAGATAGATAGATAGATAGATAGATAGATAGATAGATAGATAGATAGATAGATAGATAGATAGATAGATAGATAGATAGATAGATAGATAGATAGATAGATAGATAGATAGATAGATAGATAGATAGATAGATAGATAGATAGATAGATAGATAGATAGATAGATAGATAGATAGATAGATAGATAGATAGATAGATAGATAGATAGATAGATAGATAGATAGATAGATAGATAGATAGATAGATAGATAGATAGATAGATAGATAGATAGATAGATAGATAGATAGATAGATAGATAAGATAGATAGATAGATAGATAGATAGATAGATAGATAGATAGATAATAGATAGATAGATAGATAGATAGATAGATAGATAGATAGATAAGTTAAGCTAATCTTACTGATGCCGTCACGAAATTTGATACATTGATATCGTCTTTGATGGACTTTGTTAGGACACGAATGGTGTTCAATAAAGGCACAAATTCGTGCAGTAAGAGTTACATAATACCCTATAACATAAAAAAGTAAAACTAGAGTCCATTTCTGGTAATTCTGCATATTACTATATTTATAATCAACTTTTATGTCCTTCCAAAAGTACATCAAAGTTTAAAGGGCTTACAATATCAAAAGAATATTATAAATTTGTATACGTGTTGTACATTATTTTGAAGCAGAGGTTCTCAGCTTAAGCTGGGTTGTAATAGCAATTTTTTTATACAAATTGGATTTTCATCTTTTGAGATCGTATGTCCTTTAAACTTTTTTACTGGGGCATAAGAGCTGATTATGAAAAACTGAGTACACAGAGTAATACTAATGGTTCTGGTGTAATAGGACAGTAGTCGAAATGTTTTAAGGCAAACGTCGAAGCCTAGAAAAGAAGCAGGTACCCAAATGATTAGTCATCAAAACCAAAGGCAAAGAAGAAGATTTACCGCTTACTGTCATCTGATTGGTATACGGTAAACAGAAAAATAGTTAGGCAACGTTAAAGGGATAGACAAGATGCAAAAGGAGACACAAATCTGCAAGAGTTTGGAAATAATGTACGAAGAATTGAAGGACCCACAAAGGCGAACTACTATTGGAAACAACTAAATACGAATAATAATGAGAACGCAAAACAATTCAACGAACGGATCGGAAAAACTATAAATCTTCTTAATTACCATGATGGATCTTTTTAAATTCAGTTTTAAAGACCCCGAATTTTAATGTATGCCAGTCTTATAGTTAGTGATATAAGCCGATAAAAAGGAGTATTTTTTTCAATATGGATGTATTTATGTACATATGTAGGTGTACTCATCCGAACACATTTGTATAAAATATTTTGTCTGATTTATAACAGATTGATGCCTTTATAAATAAATCATTTTGATGCAATTAAAATGACATTATTTAAAGTAAACAATTAAACTCAAACGATTTAATTACCGCAAAAGTGCACAAACCATTGACAAACAATCCATTAAGAATTAAATTGAAACAATTCTGAAAATTTCTCTTAATGATTTATTTAAATTAAACGTTAAATATGTATTTAAGATTTTTTGTTTGCTTTCATCTTCATGTGCTCAACACGACCAAAAGCATCAAATCTCAAGACATGTTTCTGACCTACAAAAAATTCCGAATTTGAAATCCATCTAAGAGCTGGCGTAAACGTTGGTATAAGCCGGGAGTTAATGGTGAAATTATTAATAGCATAACGAATACCCTATAAAAAACCATATCAAAAGAATACAAACTATGTACCTGTATAAAAAAACATACCTTCTTCAATGGACAAGCATATGGAAAATTGCTAATACGATGAGCTTCTTCGGATACCATACGTGTAACGGGATTTTTGAATGATGTTCCCAAGGCCTTACAAATGTCGACTTCCATCGATAAATATGAATTGTTATTATTTTGTACTTCTATCAGAAATTGATATCGATTTATAAGAGTCAATATGTCTTTTTTTAAAACAATTATTGCATTCATCATGTTTTGACCCTTGACATCCGTTGCCAACCAACATTCGACTTTTTCCACATAATCCTTATCATATATGGAACAATCCAAACCCTCAAAGTAGGCGTTTATCTGAAAAAGTCTTTATTAGTGGAATAAGAACTTGTCGTTGTTATTGTTATTATATCATACTATTCTAGCATTGATCAGACGAAGAATTTGGAAAAAAAATAAATATTTTAATACAATAGACATTTCAAACTGAATTGTTCTTTAGAACTAGTAAACAATCAGGGAATTACTTTTAATTTAATGGATATGTTAGTTTTTCGATTTATATTACTATAATTTACATTTTATCGTTTAAACAACAAAAGGTCCTAAGTGTTTTTTTTTTTTAACTTCCAGAAGATTTTAAAAAGTTAATTTTTTATATTATGCTTTTAAACAATACTCACACTGTTGTCGATTTACTAATTTTACAACCGTTGAGTATTTTTGAAAATTGTTTAAACGATAAATAATAGTGCAATAAAACTTTTAATTTATGGAATAAAAAATGCACATAAGACTTTTTGTTCGCACAACAACAATACATATGTTTCATTAATAGTTAAAACTAAATTTAAGTTCAGTGATGCATGGTAAACATTTTTCATTAAAAACAAAATGAAATTTGATTAAAACCAAAGTTTACAAATCTTCTAATTAAGCAATCTGGTAAACAAATTTTAAAATCCTATAATTACTTGACAACTTAATTAAAACCGGTAGTTAACTTTTTTATCACATTCGATACGAATGCTCACTATATTACGAATTCGCAAATTCAGCTTATATCTCAACTTTTATTCTCTTTTTTGTCATACGGATCGAATTTCATTTTACTTTTTCATTAGACTTTTCGTACGTAAAGGCCCCATTAAGCCCCCTTCACACGAGCACTTAAAGTCCCCTTCACACGAGCACACAAGTAATATGATTTGTCAAAATTTTGTGTAGAAGAGAACGGATGGGATCGTCTAAACGCGATATGTGATGAAACCATCACACATTTAGAGAAAATACGGATGGAAAATTTGACAGTCGTATGGCTCTCTTCATTTTTTTAAATGATTCAAAAAACAAGCAAGTTGCATTAGATCAGGGATGTATTTTAAGGTAAACACATACAAAAAAAGTGAAACAGCTGTTTCCATTTTACTTTGTTATTGTTTTATAGCAATCGTGTAAACACGAAAAATATAAATCATACGACTTTTATTCTCTTTTTTGTCATACGGATGGAATTTCATTTTACTTTTTCATTAGACTTGTCGTACGTAAAGTGTGATCGTCTGCAGGGCCCTTAAGTAATATGATCTGTCAAAATTTTGTGTAGAAGAGAATGGATGGGATCGTCTAAACGCAATATGTAATGAAACCATCACACATTGAGAGAAAATACGGATGGAAAATTTGACAGTCGTATGGCTCTCTTCATTTTTTTAAATGATTCAAAAAACAAGCAAGTTGCATTAGATCAGGGATGTATTTTTAGGTAAACACATACAAAACAAGTAAGAAATTATAGTTGGGCGAGGCCGACCATATAATACCCTACATCTGTTACAAAAATAAAAGGTGATTTAGTTTTCATAATAAAGCATTTAAGTTGAATTGTCCCTTGCCTCAGATATACTTAAGCCATTTATTGTTGAATAAAATTGTGGACATTTAAGTCAAATTTTGAAGGGGGCCTTATATAGGGGCTATGGTCAAATGAGACCCTATAATTATAAAATTCATGAGAGTCATCAAGGCTACTATAGAACTTAATTTTGCAGCTTTTTGTCGAGATACGAATACATTAAACATAATTATGAACTTAAAATTCCTATTCGTCGGGTTCAGTTGTATGGGGGCTAGGTGAAATAATGAACCGATGTTAACCATTTTCAATAGACTTCGTCCCTGGGGCAATAGAAGGTCATGTACCAAATTTCAAAATTGCGACCTGTAGTTTGATTACAAGGTTTACATGGACGGACGGACATAGCTAAATCGACTCAGAAAATGATTTTAAGCCGATTGGTATACTTTAAGGTGGGTGGTATATGACCAATATTATTGTGCGTTACAAACATCAGCACAAACCCAATATACTCTCCCCACTAAAGTGGTGTAGGGTATAAAAACTGAAACAGCTGTTTCTATCTTAGTTTGTTATTGTTTTATACCAATCGTGTAAACACGAAAAATATAAATCATACGACTTTTATTCTTTTTTTTGTCATACGGATGGAATTTAATTTTACTTTTTCATTACACTTATCGTACGTAAAGTGTGATCGTCTGAAGGGACCTTTAGCAGCATCGACTTACTAGAACACTAACAAAAAATCTTCCATATTAATGGAAGGAATCCATGTAGACCTGTGACAGATTCATAAAGTGCAGGGATGGATCAGTTCAAATTCTCAAAATTTCATATGAAGAGTAACTAAAAGTTTCAAAAATATGTTCCAATAATGTACTATTCTAACTTTTGCGTAGGGCAAAAGTAAATAGTTTAATTATAATTAAATTAACATTATTTTGTCATTATTTTTACAAAAAATTATGGCAGAAATAAAACCCACTAACAAGATCTTTTATCAAACGTGTTTCAAATTAATTGATTTTGGTAAAATAAATCAAACTATGAATGACACAGAAACTAACCAGTAGTTTAGACCGTGGTTTGGTAAGCAGGTTTGGTTTAAGATAATATTTAAAAATATGTATATAAATTATAGACTGGTGATATATGGGGTCTATTTTCAATAGAATTTCAATGTTTTGTCTTGGACGTACAATCGGACGGACATGGCTTAATGTACTAAGAAATTTTATTATAAATATTATTTTTAAAGACGATTCACATACTTTAAGGTGCTCATATGACCAATATTACACACCCTACGCTCTCTGGGATAATCTATCACTATTGGGTTTTGATATTTTTTGTTTTAATCGGCGTCGTATCGTTGTATGTCGTAATTTGTATACCCTCCACCATGGTGGCCCTCTGTGCCCTGTGTGCACCACCATCAGTGGTGATGGAGGGAATATATAAGTTTGTCATTCCATGTGTAACACCAGGAAATATTCATCTGATACCTAATGAAGTATATACCTATACTAGCTATACCCAGTGGGCTTTGCTACCCCAAAATCTATATAAATAAAAAGACCATTTTTGAAGATTCTAGTTCTAACAGTTTCCAAGATATATGAATTTTTGAATTTAATTAATATGGGAGGTGCTGTTTTATTTTCTAAAATATACCTACTAATTTAAGATTTTCTTTATATGGAAGGTGCCACGCCCACTGTAGCTAGGCTGCCCATTTTACCATCATGAATTCATATGGATGTCAAAGTTGCTCATACAAAATTTGAGGACTCTGTCTGTTGCAGTTACTCAGATAAGCGACTTATAATACTTGTGGGCGTGGCTCCTAGCCTATTTGAAATTCCTTCCAGACATATAGGAATACACTGTGAAAATTGCAGTAAAATCGGTTTAGCAGTATATAAAATCCAAACAAACATACAAACACACATTCACTTTTATATATATAGATAAAAGATATATACATATATATCGGGTCCTTATGAAACTTTGAGACGATTTATCTATGTCCGTCTATCTGTTTGCTTAAACATGTTCACATTAAAACTAAGCAAATGAAATCAAATATTGTCCGTTATGAATGTATTTAAAGTACATATAAATTGCAAAGCGAGATTTTTCCGGATAGATCCGAAATTGATCATAGCTTCTATATAAGGTCCCCTTGCGAAAATCACTTAAATGCACATAATTAATTAACAAATAAAGATATCGGGATAAAATTCTGCATAAATGCGTTATGAGTACATATATACATACATATAAATGTTTCTGCTAAATTTTTTCCAGAGCGGTCCACAATTGATCATAGCTCCTATATAAGGTCCTCCTCCGAAAATCACATAAAAGCAGATATTTCATTGACAAATAAGGATTTAGGAAAAAAAAATTGACATAAATATATTTTATAAATTAATATATAAATCAGATCGAACCATAAGTGGTCATATCTCCCATAATTGGTCATAGCTCCCATATAATGTCGACTTCCCAAAATTAATTTTTTTTTCGAGAAAATTAATAATTGACGCAGTGGACGTATCATTGTAGGTATTTTTTCTCAGAAACAAAACTACTTACTTAACTCCATATTTGTTGGCGGTCGTAGTAAGTACTTACCTAACTCCCTATTAATAAGCGAGCGTGGTAAGTACTTGCTCCAATGTCATTCTCGTGTTCAAATAATGACCTAAAATGCTATTATGTAAATAAATTTTTGCATTTCAACCCCTTAGTTTTCAAGGTATGTAAGCTTTTGTTGGGTGGTTAATAGGCGGGCCGATATAGTATGTATCATAATGCTTAATGTCTTCACAGTTTTACAGTATACAATTGAATCCATCGATATTATCACGAATCCGAGAATTTAATCTCGATACCTCCTATCATCTAGCATGTATCGGGGCACCTAACTCCGATGTAATAACTAAGAAATGTTTTCTTAAGTGTATAGATATCCTGTCCCAACTCAGACGATATTTTTAAAGTACATAAGTATGTGGGCTTTACAACAAATGTGTACCAATTAGCAAAATCATACTCATATCCATACCACTTGCCATGATATCGAAAATAATATCCAAATAAATGATCTTTATAGGAATTCTTTAAGATTCTTATTGACAAATCGTATGCCATTGTTTAGGCAAAGAAAATATTTTACTGTAGTTAAATTTTAGAACATTTTAGAACATACACATGTACCCAGTAAAAACTTCCATTACAATGTAAGGGATTAAAATGCTAACATTCACATTACACATTACATTACACATCATTATGTCATTGGAGGCAAGTACTTAACACAAACGATTACAAGTAATTAGAAAAAGTAATCATTGTAAATCGCATGAAAAAACGTATACAGCTTCTATATCTTTACTGGCAAGATTACTAATGAATTATAAAGTATTTATATAACACATTATTAGTAAGACATTACTAGACTACTTCTATGTAATCCATTGAAAAGTATATTGATAGGTAAGTAATTACAACTGAAAGCAATTACCCAGTTTTTGCTGGGTATGTATTTAATTTTTTATTTATTTTTATTTTTCTTCTTCCTTTTATGCTCAACACGCCCAAAGGCATCAAATGTAAGAACATGTCTCTTTCCAATAAAAAATATAGAATTTGAATACCATGTAAGAGCTGGTGTAAAAGTTGGAATCAATTTCCAGTTTATGGTAAAATTATTTATCACATATGGAATACCCTGTAATGAAATACAAAATAAAATTAAGTTATTTCTATCTATATAAAACATACCTTTTTCAACGGACAATCGTAGGGAAAATTACTAACACGATGAATTTCCTCTGACATCATTCGAGTAACTGGATTAGTAAATAATGCTCCCAATGCTTCGCAAATATTGAGGTCTAACGATAATATGTATTGGTTTTGTTTTTTACTGTCACAAGAAATTTATAATGATTTAAAACTTCGTTTAAATCTACTTTCAAAATTAAAACTGCGTTCATTGTTTTTTGACCTTTGGCATCGGTCGACAACCAACATTCAAGTTTAGCTATAAAATGTTTATTATATGAGTCACATTTTAAGCCCTCATAATAAGCATCAATCTAAAGAAAACAATTTTTGTCAAAATATTTATAAATAAATTAATAAATAATATTTAATTTCGTACCACTCTCGCATTGACCGCACAAAGAGTTTGTAAAAGCCAGAAATACTTTAATAACCTAAACATTTTCAACTAAATTTATAAAATAACATTATTTTATTTCGAACGTTTTATTTTATTTATAATTTTTTAAAAATTTATATTTTTTATAGAAAACTATTTTTAGAGTAAATATTTTTAATTGCACTTTAGTTTAAAAGCAAAAATATTTATTTACATTATTTTGTCATAACATTATTAACTAAATTAAATAATTATTGATATTCATCATAAAAATTAAAAAAACTACTACTATTTAAAAATTAATAGTTTTTAATAGAACATTAACACTAATTGAGTCGTTTCAATATTTTTAGAATTGTGATATCATACCTTTTATAAAAGTTTTTGGATCAGTAATATTATTGAAGTAATTATTTTGTTGAAAATCCAACTCCTATAGTCTAGTCTATAGTCTAGTCTACAGCCTAGTCTATAGTCTAGTCCATAGTCTAGTCTATAATCTAGTCTATAGTCTGGTCTATAGTCTAGTCTTTAGTCTAGTCTATAGTCTAGTCTATAGTCTATTCCATAGTCTATTCTATAGTCTAGTCTATAGTCTATTCCATAGTCTATTCTATAGTCTAGTCTATAGTCTAGTCTATAGTCTAGTCTATAGTCTAGTCTATAGTCTAGTCTATAGTCTAGTCTATAGTCTAGTCTATAGTCTAGTCTATAGTCTAGTCTATAGTCTAGTCTATAGTCTAGTCTATAGTCTAGTCTATAGTCTAGTCTATAGTCTAGTCTATAGTCTAGTCTATAGTCTAGTCTATAGTCTAGTCTATAGTCTAGTCTATAGTCTAGTCTATAGTCTAGTCTATAGTCTAGTCTATAGTTTAGTCTATAGTCTAGTCTATAGTCTAGTCTATAATCTAGTCTATAGTCTAGTCTATGGTCTAGTCTATAGTCTAGTCTATAGTCTAGTCTATAATCTAGTCTATAGTCTAGTTATAGTCTATAGTCTAGTCTATAGTCTAGTCTATAGTCTAGTCTATAGTCTAGTCTATAGTCTAGTCTATAGTCTAGTCTATAGTCTAGTCTATAGTCTAGTCTATAGTCCTAGTCTATAGTCTAGTCTATAGTCTAGTCTATAGTCTAGTCTATAGTCTAGTCTGTCTAGTCTATAGTCTAGTCTAGTCTATAGTCTAGTCTAGTCTATAGTCTAGTCTATAGTCTAGTCTAGTCTATAGTCTAGTCTAGTCTATAGTCTATAGTCTAGTCTAGTCTAGTCTAGTCTAGTCTAGTCTATAGTCTAGTCTATAGTCTAGTCTATAGTCTAGTCTATAGTCTAGTCTATAGTCTAGTCTATAGTCTAGTCTATAGTCTAGTCTATAGTCTAGTCTATAGTCTAGTCTATAGTGTAGTCCTATAGTCTATTCTATAGTCTAGTCTAGTCTAGTCTAGTCTAGTCTATAGTCTAGTCTATAGTCTAGTCTATAGTCTAGTCTATAGTCTTGTCTATAGTCTAGTCTATAGTCTTGTCTATAGTCTAGTCTATAGTCTAGTCTATAGTCTAGTCTATAGTCTAGTTCATAGTCTAGTCTATAGTCTAGTCTATAGTCTAGTCTATAGTCTATTCTATAGTCTAGTCTATAGTCTAGTCTATAGTCTAGTCTATAGTCTAGTCTATAGTCTAGTCTATAGTCTAGTCTATAGTCTAGTCTATAGTCTAGTCTATAGTCTAGTCTATAGTCTAGTCTATAGTCTAGTCTACAGACTAGTCTATAGTCTAGTCTATAGTCTAGTCTATAGTCTAGTCTATAGTCTAGTCTATAGTCTAGTTCATAGTCTAGTCTATAGTCTAGTCTATAGTCTAGTCTATAGTCTAGTCTATAGTCTAGTCTATAGTCTAGTCTATAATCTAGTCTATAGTCTAGTCTATAGTCTAGTCTATAGTCTAGTCTAGTCTATAGTCTAGTCTATAGTCTAGTCTATAGTCTAGTCTATAGTCTAGTCTATAGTCTAGTCTATAGTTTAGTCTATAGTCTAGTCTATAGTCTAGTCTATAGTCTAGTCTATAGTCTAGTCTATTGTAGTCTATAGTCTATTAGTCAGTCTATAGTCTAGTCTATAGTCTAGTCTATAGTCTAGTCTAGTCTAGTCTATAGTCTAGTCTATAGTCTAGTCCATAGTCTAGTCTATAGTCTAGTCTATAGTCTTGTCTATAGTCTAGTCTAATAGTCTAGTCTATAGTCTAGTCTATAGTCTAGTTCATAGTCTAGTCTATAGTCTAGTCTATAGTCTAGTCTATAGTCTATTCTATAGTCTAGTCTATAGTCTAGTCTATAGTCTAGTTATAGTCTAGTCTATAGTCTAGTCTATAGTCTAGTCTATAGTCTAGTCTACAGACTAGTCTATAGTCTAGTCTATAGTCTGGTCTATGGTCTAGTCTATAGTCGAGTCTATAGTCTAGTTTATAGTCTAGTCTATGGTCTATTCTATAGTCTAGTCTATAGTCTAGTATATAGTCTAGTCTATAGTCTAGTCTATAGTCTAGTCTATAGTCTAGTCTATAGTCTAATCTATAGTCTAATCTATAGTCTAGTCTATAGTCTAGTCAATAGTCTAGTCTATAGTCTAGTCTATAGTCTAGTCTATAGTCTAGTCAATAGTCTAGTCTATAGTCTAGTTTATAGTCTAGTCTATAGTCTAGTCTAGTCTATAGTCTAGTCTATAGTCTAGTCTATAGTCTAGTCTATAGTCTAGTCTATAGACTAGTCTATAGTCTAGTCTATAGTCTGGTCTATGGTCTTGTCTATAGTCTAGTCTATAGTCTAGTCTATAGTCTAGTCTATAGTCTAGTCTATAGACTAGTATATAGTCTAGTCTATAATCTAGTCTATAGTCTAGTCTATAGTCTAGTCTATAGTCTAGTCTACAATCTAGTCTATAGTCTAGTCGTTATAGTCTAGTCTATAGTCTTGCTATAGTCTAGTCTAGTCTAGTCTATAGTCTAGTCTATAGTCTAGTCTATAGTCTAGTCTAGTCTAGTCTATAGTCTAGTCTATAGTCTGGTCTATAGTCTAGTCTATAGTCTAGTCTATAGTCTAGTCTATAGTCTAGTCTATAGTCTAGTCTATAGTCTAGTCTATAGTCTAGTATATAGTCTAGTCTATAGTCTAGTCTATAGTCTATAGTCTAGTCTATAGTCTAGTCTAGTCTATAGTCTAGTCTATAGTCTAGTCTATAGTCTAGTCTATAGTCTAGTCTATAGTCTAGTCTATAGTCTAGTCTATAGTCTAGTCTATAGTCTAGTCTATAGTCTAGTCTATAGTCTAGTCTATAGTCTAGTCTATAGTCTAGTCTATAGTCTAGTCTATAGTCTAGTCTATAGTCTAGTCTATAGTCTAGTCTATAGTCTAGTCTATAGTCTAGTCTATAGTCTAGTCTATAGTCTAGTCTATAGTCTAGTCTATAGTCTAGTCTATAGTCTAGTCTATAGTCTAGTCTATTATCTAGTCTATAGTCTAGTCTATAGTCTAGTCTATAGTCTAGTCTATAGTCTAGTCTATAGTCTAGTCTATAGTCTAGTCTATAGTCTAGTCTATAGTCTAGTCTATAGTCTAGTCTATAGTCTAGTCTATAGTCTGGTCTATAGTCTAGTCTATAATCTAGTCTATAGTCTAGTCTATAGTCTAGTCTATAGTCTAGTCTATAGTCTAGTCTATAGTCTAGTCTATAGTCTAGTCTATAGTCTAGTCTATAGTCTAGTCTATAGTCTAGTCTATAGTCTAGTCTATAGTCTAGTCTATAGTCTAGTCTATAGTCTAGTCTATATTCTAGTCTATAGTCTAGTATATAGTCTAGTGTATAGTCTAGTCTATAGTCTAGTCTATAGTCTAGTCTATAGTCTAGTCTATAGTATATTGTCTAGTCTATATTCTAGTGTATAGTCTAGTCTAGTCTATAGTCTAGTCTATAGTCTAATCTATAGTCTAGTCTATAGTCTAGTCTATAGTCTAGTCTATAGTCTACTCTATAGTCTAGTCTATAGTCTAGTCTATAATGTTTAAACTGTAATAATTTTATTAATTATTTTATTATTTATAAATTATTTTATTTATTATAATAGTTAAATTTATAAATACATAATTTATCTATTTATGGTATTTTCAGATGCAGATGAGTAAACAAAATATATAAAAAAATTTATTTAAATTTTTTTCTATGATGAGAATTTTAAATATTTTATAATAAAATTTAAGCAATTAAAACAATTGGCAACCGGTAACGGCACAGTATCGCAAGTCTTGCAAAATGACATCCAAGACAGACGATTGGACCCATATTTAAGTAGGATAAATTTAAAACGAACAAATATAATATAAAAAATGTATTTTTGAAATAAAATTTAATTTTAGCGCCAGAGAAATGAAATGAATTTACAAAACAATTGATCTGAACAACTGAAAATTACCATTTTTGAACATGTTCTCTAGATATAATACTTATTTTAGGTCAGTTTTCTATATCAAAGGAAACATATTGTGGACATATTAAAAACAAATAATTCAAATATATATTTTGTTTGTTGTTGTAAAATAAATTCTCGAAAATAAACGTAGATCTTACATATTTATTGGTCAAAATAAAAAATATTATAAAGAAACATGTTTGTCATGTACTTTATGCAACAAAA